AAAGAGTTAAAGAAAAAAATAGTGTTTAAAGAGTAAAAATAAATAAAAAATTCAAGTTTTCACAAGTCTTTTTTGAGTGACTATTCTCAAAGGGAGCATTTCAGGTTGCAAATTTGTCATATTTTTTCCGTAGAAATATTTTTTGTCCAAAAATTCTGAGGTCCTCTGTAACAAAAGAAAAAGCTAAACCATTTGCAAATTCTTAAGGGTTAGCCAGCGTGATCAGGGTCTGCAGTAGAAGGACCTAATGTTGCGGAATAGGCCAAGGATTTAAATGTGGCAGTCTATCATTTAGAAACGCCATTAATGTGGAAGCCTTTGATGATGGAAATGTATTGACTTACATGAAGAATATGAAATCTTTATTTGCGCTTGACTGGACCTGAATGATTGCACTTTTTCCTCATGCTAATCATTAGTAATGGTAGAGACTTCCATTCCTGAACCGGGCGGGTAGGGGGGGGGGTCTTTCAGTGGCCATTTGTTCTGCACTGCTGCTTTCGATTCACACAATGACAGAAAAGACCTTCATCTTTGTAGTGAGGTGGGCTGGTGGAGGAAGAGTGGAGCTGCTTCCTGCAAGACCAGTCTGGAAGCACTCAGTGAGGCACTGAAGGAAATTGCCATAATTCAGCTGCACTGATAAGGGATTCTGATCAAATTTATCCACCATAACAAACTTGGCAACTACGTTTGAATTTCATAACTATGATATATAGTAAAATGGGCTGCATATTAAAAATCAAATGTTGTTAGATCTGAATCCTGGACAGTATCTGATGGAGCACAGACATACCCAGATGTTTCCCTTCACGCTTAGGTCCAGATTATAGAATTTGTGGGGAAGGAATCTGAACTATGAGACCTTATTTGATCACTGAAAAATGTCCCATTTCATTGTTGGTGCAGTGAAAAACAAATACAATAAGCTGTGGAAGTGAGAGCCGCACACATTCAGCAGACTACATAAACAAAGGAAAGAGAAACCCAATTGTGCTTATCAATAACTCCCATCTATTTCCCACCATTCTGGTCGACGCAAGTACAGTAAATACCACAGACGAAGGGGACCATTTAAGCTCTGCCATTCCTCTCCTGTTGACCAGACAATGCCCCCTTAGGAGGTTATTTAAACATTCAAGTCACACAGAGGTGGTGCCACCCGGGGACCGGAGACTAGACATCAGGACCGCTAGCCTGCGGCTAACGTTAGAATGAATTAATGAATGAAAAGTCGGCGCGAGTGAGTGGTCACTCCTTACCTTTCAGGACGGTCACCGCCTGGGCAGCCTCCCCCTCCGGCCCGCTGCAGCCCGGGGGCTCGTCCCCCTCGAACAGCTGGTTCACCTCCCCCTGGATGTCGGAGGGGCGCCGGTCGCCGTCGCTCTTGGAGACGGTGAACCTCTGGCTCATGGTGGCCGCCGGTGAGACGGGGAGACGTCTCGTCACGGGTGCGAGCTCGCGCGGACGGAAGAAAAAAAATTTAAAAACGCCCTCACCTTTTTTTTTTTTTAAATCTTGTTTTGAGGCTCCACTGGCCCGGTCCACTTAAGTTCACCTGCTCTGCCCCGTATAGCGGGCTCTTTTGTCGGGTATATATTGGATGCGTAATGTCGAGTGGACCACCTCATCAACCGGTGTCTGCTGGCACCTGGGTCCTAAAGCCGAAGCAAAAAAAAAAAAAAAAAAAAAAAAAAAAAA